CAAAAATACAAAAAATACAAAAAATAAAAAATTTAATTTCTAAAAAATTAAATTCAGAAAATTAAGGTCAAACACACTGATTGTCATTTTTTTTTCATTCTTAAAACTACTAATTTTATCGGATTAGACTTGAAGTTTTTATTTATTTTTTTTTTATTCAAATGAAAGTTAGGATAGATAAAGTATTGTTTTACAAACCAAAACAGAAACAGAGGGGGAGAAAAGTATTCAAATGAATGGAGGTTGGAGGATCCTGTAATGTTCCTTCTGTTCACAACAATGTTAGCCAGCATCTGCATCTCTGATTTGCCTCTGTTGGAGTGTGGTGGATGGTGCAATTGCATCTCTGTAATTGCATCTCAATTACATCTCTGATTTTCCAGTTCAAACCATAACTGTAAACCCAACTCATGCATACACCATAGATATACAACACACATAAAAAATGGGTCATCACAATTCAATAAGAATTTTGACAGCATCCCTTCAAACCCAGGAATCTAAACACATTTATAAATAAGGTGCCTGTTGCATAAAAAGTAATACAACATCCAACACATCACACACCAATTCCGTAATAAAAAAAGCCTACAGCCACTGTCAAATCTGTTTGTAAGGGAAGAAAAAAAAAATACACACACTCACGGGTTGTTGGCAGGGGAAAAAAAATGTAAAACAAACATAGGAGGTAGCAACATCACCGAAAACTAATGCAGGACAGTAATGAAACATAAACCCTTTCCGGTGACTAAAGCCGTCAGAACCACCCAGTTATTCCGAGGCCGTGAGTTGGCACTGATGGGCCATCCATATTCTGGGACTTCTTCATTCGCAGCCAAGTAATGACTGTCGCGTTCGTCGGAATCTGCAACAATATTGCTTGATTTGCTGGATTGTCCATTAGTGTCAAACCAAAAACAATTAGTGGGTCTTGCAGGTCCACGCCTTGTAGGGAGTACAACCTTGCCATACACTTGCGAATGCAGTTCTGCGTCGAATCTCCATACTAATGATGTATGCGGACTTCTCGTTGTTGTAATTTAACTACAGACGCAAGGTTTTCCATGCTACTCGCCAAGAGCGATGCTCCCTCACTCTGCCTTTTTTTTTTCTACTGTGGGTGTATTGTGCGACTGAATTTGCATTTGCTCCCGCCACTCGTAAGTGTGTCATTAGCGTGAATTGCCAATGACGCGGCATGTACAGTGACCGGGGTGTCCTCCTCTTGCGCAACAGTGTGGTGGACAGTGTGTTCCTGCTGCGCGGATGGCTGGAAAGGGGGCAAACCACTGCTGTCCATTCAGTCTTCTTCGTCTACCAGCAAAGGATTGTCCTCGGTGGCGACAAGTTCGAACGCTGCCCCTGGTGTCCATGAAAATTTCCCGGTTGCCGTTGCACCTTCGTACACCCTTCGCATGAGGTCCATATGCTCCAACGGTTTCGTTTTGAACTTCAGTACATTCTTGTCAATCTGGGAAAAACCAAAACACATAAACATAACTTAAAACAAAGAAGGAGGAGAAACACAACAACCATGATGCATGTTTATGTCATAGGTTTAGTCAGCTACAAATATTTTGGGTCACATGAGGAGGACATTATCAATATAGATAAGTAACACCTTATATTTTTGCTAGGTCTCTTACATGAATTCTTGCAGTGATGTGACTTGATTGCATTGCCAGATTATCTTCATTGATTTCGTATACTGTCCCTCTAATCAGTGCTATGCTATATCATACATATGACATTTGTAATTGTCATATGTAATTTGCTTATACTTTATCTTACCAGTCATCTGTCATGACACAATTATCTAATATGGTTGCTTTTATTGACAGTTTCGAATAGTTCCATTGAAATTTTATGTTGCATAAAAAGTCTGTTCCAATGTGCTTCGACCTAGTTGGAGAACGAGACATAGAACAAGTCCATTATATCATCTATTATGTCTTCAAAAGAGACTTTCTTAGTCCATTATCTGTGTTGTTGGATTTGATTAGTGTATTAGGCTTACCTGCAAAGATTGAGAATGTTGTATATTTTACAAATTTCTTGTATAAAAATGTGGTGGGCCTCACATATCATTGTTTGTAGAATACATAGAGTTTATTCTGTAGAATGGCTCATAATGCAGCCAAAGGAAATGATCCAAAGTGAACACCTTCATGCTCAACTCAAGCTCAGGATGCTAAAAGATTTTGATTGGACTCTAGCTCATACCTATTATATGATAAAATGAACTCCAGCTAGTTTTATGACAGTCTGAGTCAGCTTACTTTTAGTCTTTTTTTTTTTGTTTTTTGAATGTCTTACTAAGTAGTGATGTTTTTTTGTGGTGCGTGCATTTACTTGAGAAATTTTTTTCTTCGTCTACTGGTAAACATTGTTATACAAATTTCTTGTATAAAAATGTGGTGGGCCTCACATATCATTGTTTGTAGAATACATAGAGTTTATTCTGTAGAATGGCTCATAATGCAGCCAAAGGAAATGATCCAAAGTGAACACCTTCATGCTCAACTCAAGCTCAGGATGCTAAAAGATTTTGATTGGACTCTAGCTCATACCTAATATATGATAAAATGAACTCCGGCTAGTTTTATGACAGTCTGAGTCAGCTTACTTTTAGTCATTTTCTTTTTTTTTTTTGAATGTCTTACTAAGTAATGATTTTTTTTTGTGGTGCATGCATTTACTTGAGAAATTTTTTTCTTTATCTACTGGTAAACATTGTTATAAAAAAAAATGTGCTATGGTAGGCGGATGAGTTTGCAAATGAGTTTTAAATCATCTCCATGACATAAACAATCAAGGTAAGATAACACAAAAACAATAGTGACATAATGTAAGGGTTTTGGGAAGGTTCTTAACATGTCAGAGAGGGAATGGAAACAAACAAACATGTGGGCGTTTTTTGTCAACTACACAAATGAAATTAGTTTATTTGAAGACTGAATGCTAAGCCCAAAGCAATATGACGTAACAAATTGGTGTCTACTCATGCACTACTAGTACATGCCCATTCATATTCATAAGCATAAAACCCCAAGACATAACAGCATGAGACACAGAGATTTGATAATGAATCTTGCTTGGCCAACTTACCAAAGTATATAAGCAACCTGTTTGGAGTGAAAAATAGGTGTGCAGGTAACCACATAGGTTCAACGCCAGTCAAACACACAACAATGCAATTTGGAGTACGAAACGGCAGTGAAAGTCAAGTACTTGCCCACAGAAACTCACAAAACAGTTAAAAAAATTTCACAAAATAGTCATACATATGAAGGGAGACAGAGAAACGGATAGGCAACTTGGCAAGTATAACAACGGTAGTTGGGGTGAAAAGTAGGTGTCTAACCAGGTTTAGTTCTTGTTTTTGGTCACATTAAAATATTAATGAAGAATTTTTAAAAATATATGTTGTAACATATGCATGACTATCACGTTGGATGGTACAAACAAGAATATGGAATTGTTACCTTTTCATAATGGGCCCACCAGTCGTCGGATGCTTGTATCAAACCAGTTACTTCATTGTAAGTTATGCCGATTGGCCCATGCCTGCTGTCCATTAGACGTGACCACGACTGCCAATCCTTTTTCAGTAACGCGTACTTGTTTTGCAGTTGCTTCACATCATGGACCTTATGTGTACGCTCCTCGAAGGCCTTGGCGACAGCCTTGTATCCGTGCATTGTCATTGTATGGAAGCTACCCTTGAAACCTGAGTCCAACTCTTTGATAACAAGTTGCAAGAACACGCGCACCGTGTCAGAGTCCCAATTTGCTTTGTGCACATTTGCGGACTGCGGTTGAGACTGTTTACTACCACACTTACGCAAATGTTTCGAAGGTGTCGACTACGATTGTGAGTGCTCCATTTCGGTACTACAATGCAACAGTAATTGTGGCATATGTCAAAAAGCAACATTGTGACAACATGAAAATGGTAAATAACAATATTTATTTAAAAAATTGCCATCCATTTCCTTTTACTTAAAAAAATTACCAATGATATATTTGTCTGTTCGTAGTTAAAATTGCCATCCATTTCCTTTTACTTAAAAGCTACCTATCGCCCTATGTTAATGTCATACCCTCTCATACTAGAGCCAACTCCTCTCATACGCTAACGATGCCGGAAACAAGTAACCATTACTGACTCAAGAAATTTCCTTCAAATGTCAAATCTTCAACCTTAAACCTTCTACTGAATCACCAAATACACAGTGATGACGCCCCAATTTGCCCCAATTGTTTTGAAACACTAATCTCCAATTTGTTTTCTAGATGTTTTCAACAAGCAAAAAAGAAACAGACCCAAATGGTTGACACATCAAGTGAGAATTTAAAGACCCAACAAACTCAAGCTTTGTGAAATATCCAAATCAAAATTCTGAACATTACAAGCATATCATCACATAACCAGGAGAAAAAAAAAGAAAAAAAATGTCATTAACAAAAATATTTTCTCAATGGGTATCTGAGAAAACAAAACCTTTACAGAACCTGAAATAACCAATACCATCACACACCCAGAAGAAAAAATCTACAAATTTTTTGAAGGGCTTTGTGGGTAATCTTCACCGACCAAAACGAGAGAGACCCAGAAGGCTATATAGTATGATAGAGGGGTTAGGTTATGGGGCAACCATTAAAGACAAAGGAAAGTGGGGGAACAGAGGAGAGAGGAGAGAGTGATGAAGAAGGTAAAGAAACAGCCGTATTGGAAAGTGGAAGTGTGAGAGTGGAGAGAGTATTAATTTGGCCGATTTGGGGGGCTCATTTTCGAGCTACATAGCGGTTTTGAATGGGGCAATGTACAGAATTGGTTCAGGGAAAATCATTGATTTTCTTTGTACCTACCAAATTGCCGAAAATGGGGAAATGTACAGATTTGGTTCACATGCCCAAAATCAGTGGCGTGGAAAAGATGTTACCTTGTTCTTTGGGGGATACGGGCCGAAGTAGTGTAGATCTGGTCGGCGGTGGTGCAGATCTGGACGAGGGATGGTCCTTCCTGTCTGTTACAGTTTTCAGGTGATGGCGTCGAGGTCTGCCTTTGGCACGGCTGTGGCGGTGGTGCAAGGTGAAGGGTGTGACGGATCTCCGGCAGTGGGCGGTGTCTTCGACGGACTAGACTTTGTTCAATTGACTGAGGGATTTGTGAGGTTGGAGAAGGAAAGGGGCTTTCTGATCGTGTATATTCTGTGATATATTCGACTGATGCAATTTCAAAAAGGAAGGGCAGAAACGTAATTTTACCCTCTGCAAAGTCAGACAGGGTTTTGCCGCCCAATGCATAGAGATAAGGTAACTTTTTGACTTTTTTAATAACTTTTTAACTTTTTATCTTTTTTAGTAGATCCCAAACCAGCCCTTAGTATTTTTAGTTTTGATTTGATTTGAATAAATTGTATAATTTTTAAATCTTTTTGAGTAATAAATGCTTTATTCAAAGCATATTATATAATTGTTTTCACTGCTGTGCATTAAAATTGCTAGACGAGTCATACCTAATTAGACGGGTCGTGCATCAACCATAGTTTAGTGATGATGATGCATATATTAAAATTGTTAGACGAGTCATACCTAGTAAGACGAGTCGTGCATCAAACTGTAATTTAGTGGTGACGGTTCGTGCTAAGCGAAGATGATTCGTGACTTTCTAATTTTGATATACAAATCCTCTTAATGATGTATTTTTTTATCAATGTACATCACAGTATCCAAATTAATGATTTTCTAAAAATTGAGTACAATTACTCTCAATTAGGAGGTTAGTGATAGATTTGAAATTCTCAGATATTTATTTTATTTTGTTTAATTAATTAGTTTAATTTTCACTCAAAATATTTGCAAACAAATCTAAATTTCTAAATTAAATTATTCATCATTAATCTCAGTGGATTGATACCTGATCTTAACTGCTATTCTACAGAGTAATTATTTTTACTTAGGTTTAAATAAAATATTTTGGTGTACAAATGACCATATCAATAGTATTTCTTCATTCTTCAACACATCACTTTCAATCATTATTGTTGTTGTTGTTTTTTTTTTTTTTTTCCTTGAAGATAATTATATACACATATGTGCATCATATTTAATATAATATAATGATTTATTTAGGAACATTTAAGAAACGAATTTATTAGAAAATACTCGTGTCTAAAAAAAATTATCCAATATTAAAGGCAGCTAGCCTACGACTTAGCCTAAATAAGTGATCGACCAAATAGTAAAAATATGTAGTAATTATTATTTTAAACTTTATATTTAAATTACATTATAGTCTCTTTAATAGAAATAAACATTGGTTGTTTGAGTAAGTTATAATTGGATTAGATAGTAAAAGTCTAAAAGACATAAAAATAGAATCAAGTTGATCTCTCTAATAACATGAATAATTGTCTCATTATATGTTCAATCCTAAGTCACTTGCTCCACTTTTGTTTTTGTTTTTTTTTTATTTGTAAAAAATTAAAAAAATATATATTTAATTGTCTTACCCATCAATAAATAATAATTTCAGATAATGAACACTATCCCATAATTTATGGATTTTTTAAAAAAAAGTATTACCCATATATGAAATAAGATTACCTAAAATCAAGCATTTCTCCCATTTTTCATTTTTAACTCCTTAGAATTCTAACCGTACTTTTATATTTTCTAAACATTATCTTTTTATATTTGCAAATATAAAAAACTAAAATGGAGTTGCATAGTGATTAGTGGAGGTGGTGAGTATGGTGACAACAAGAACGATGATGAGCTCAACAAGAGTATTGTTTGGGTGAGTTTTGAAAAGGTAAGTATTAAAAGAATAGCAAATAGTTTGGGAGAAAAATTGATTTAGAAAAATAATGTATGGTTGAGATTTATTCAAAGTGCAGATTTTACTATGTAAGTGTTGAATATAAGACATATTTTATAACTATCTAACCACATGTATTTATCTCATATTACTTACCATCAATTTTTTTTGTTTTTTATTTTTAAGCTACTTTTTAGTATTTAATCCAATATTAAAACTCTCAAACTAGCTTATATCGGTCACGACCTAATAAATTATGATATAATTTAAACATAAAGTTTAAATGTATTATTATAAAATATTTTTACTAATTAACCGATCAATTTTTTTGATTAAGTGTAAGACTAGGGTTAGAATATGACCTATAATTTAGGGCGGCTCTATCTTAGATAATTTTTTCATACATAAATATATGTAACTATTCATTTAATAGTTTTAAACATAAATATATAATTTTTTTT